CTTCAGTGCAGCTTGAACTTCTAATACCGTTGGTTCTTGATTATATGCTACCTCCTGAAATGTTTGAATGTCAATCATTTCTTTTTGGTACAGTGACTCTATGTATTCCTTCTATCTTCTTTTTGATGCATCCTGTATCGTTTAATGTTTTGCCCATAGGATCCTTCAACATTGCAACTTGCGGCTTGAATTTTTCTTCCACTTCTTTCAGTTTGAGAAATGCCAAGTGTGTTCTTCCTTTTTGCACATTTCATTATAACACTTTACTTTGTCTTCTCGAACCACCCTTTGAAATCTTCTGTTCATCTCTTTCGCATCATCATTTCTTCCATTTCTGAGTCTCTTCTGACATCTGTTTTGGGCTTTTCTTTACTTCCTGTCTTTTTAACAACCTTTTGCTTTCTTCATGTAGGATGTTCTTGATGTCATCCCACAGCTCATTTGGTCTTTGGTCTTCAATGGTCAGTACATCAGATCTGTTCTTGAGATGGTCCTAAATTCAGGTAGGATATATATACTCAGGGCTCTTGTGGCTTGTTTTAATTGTCTTCAGCTTCAACTTGAACTTGCCTGTTAGCAGTTGGATAGTCTATTCTGCAGTCAGCTCCTGGCCTTGTTTTGACTGATGATACTGAGCTTCTCCATCATCTTTTTCCACAGATGGAGTCGATTTGACTTCTGTGTACTCTTACTGGGTGAGGACCATGTGTATAATTGCCATTTATGTTGTTGAAAAAGGTATTTGCAATGAATAAGTGTTTGGTATTACAAAATTCTATCATGCAATCTCCGACGTTGTTTTTATCACCAAGGCCGTGTTTTCCAACTACCGATCCTTCTTCACAGTGTAATCACCAGTAATTCTTCAAAGTGTCATCACCAGTGTATCTTGATTGCATGTTTGATCAATTTCATACTGCAGAAGCTGGGAAAAATCTTGAGTTTTACCTTTGGTGTATTAGTGGTTGGTACGTAAATTAGAATACTAGGCACATTAACCGGTGTTCCTTGTAACCAAAAAACCAAACTCACTGTCATCAAGGCAATCCGACACATAGCAACCCCTGCTGGGGTTTCTGAGGTGGTATCTCTACGGAAGTAGATGGCCCGACCTTCCTTTGGAGGAGTGGCTGGTGGGCAGATGGCTATTACCCTATCACTGACAGCACTGTACTTCAGGATAGATGTTGAAATGTGACACCATTCCTCTTCAATTTGTGTTTCTGACATGGTGGACTGTATGATGATCTGATTGACTCGTTTTACCCCTTGTCTATCAGTTTATCGTACTGTGGTGGTTTGCGTGTTGCTGTGACAGTAGAAGCTATGCTATGGTTTTTCAAACACCAACAGAGTCACCTGTGGTGGACAGGTTTCAGTGGGGCTTCCAGGCTAGGAAGAAGGGTCTGGCAGTGCAGTTCTAAAAAGAGCAGTGGGCAGTGGAAACCTTGTGAATAGCAGCAGAACATTTTCTGATACAGTGCTGCAAAGTGAGGTCCTCAAGTTGGTAGGCACTCAGAATATGACTGGGAAGGAGCTGCGTTCTCAAAGGAGAGTTAACTGTAATGACATGAATGGACTAGAGCTCTCAGGACCTTCATTTGCTGAGGAGGCACAACTCAAAATAAGAATAAACAGCGGCAGACATCCATTAATAATTGAAATGTGGAATATAAAAAGTATGAATGTAGGAAAATTTGAAGTGTCAAAAATGAGATGGAATGCATAAAGACCAATATATCCTAGGCATTAGTGAGCTGAAATGGACTGGGTTTGGCCACACAGAGTAGTTGTGCAGTGATGGTCATAATACTGGCAGTATCACTCATATACCGCTCACTGTGTCCTAGGCATTGTGTTAATTGCTTTACATTAGTAAATTTAATTTTCCTAGCACCCCACAGGGTAGGTACTATTTTGAGACGTATTTTACAGTTGAGGAAACCAAGTCACAGAGAGATTGCCCAAGGCCAGCCAGCTGGTAAGTAGCACTGGGAGCAATCGATTCCCAAAGTAGTCTGATTCCAGAAGCCCTCTTAAGCTCTAGGCTGTACTGAAGGTTTGACTGGGGGAGTGACCACCTGAGTTCTGCTGCTGGCTTGGACTTTGCCTCCTTCAGCCTCACTGCCCGTGTCTGTAAGATGAGAGCAGGGCAGGCGTGGAGTGGGAGGATTGTCCTGCAGTCCGGAGCTCGTGGATTTGGTGCTGATGTTGCCCTTCAGCCCCTGCATCCTCCTGACGTGTGTGCTCGTAGATGCACGCTGGCAGCACAGGCCTGTCCTGACCTGTCAGGACTCGGATCGTCCCCTGGGCCCTGCCCAGTCGTGGCCTGTTCGCTGCTGTTGGTCAGTTGCCTCCTCAGGGCGACCTGGTACTTTTTGTTTTCTGTGTGATTTGGGTGAAAGTTTATAGAACAAATTCACTTTCCATACAGCAGTTCACACACACATTGTCTCATGTCATGACTACAATTTCCCACAATGCAACAGTTCCCCTCCCACTTCCTCCTGATAGTTACCTCTTCCCTGTGTCCATCCCTCCATGCACCCTTGCCCCCTGAGCTGTCTCCCAGTACGTGAACAACCCTTCTTTTTCCCATGATTGTTCTCTCCAAGGAGTGTATCTACCTCAGGTACATGTTCAACCCATATGCCTATCTTTTGTTTGGCTGGAAACCACAGGTGTGGGTTCAATTCCAGACCTGAAGGGCAGCTAGGGGCCATAGTCTCAGTGGTTCCAACAGGTTCTATCAGACCAGCAAACCTGGCCCCCCCCCCCCTCTTTTTTTTTCCCAAATGATTTTGAGTTTTGTTCCACATTGTTCTCCCTCTCTATTCAGGATCTCCTATATAGATCCCCCTCTGAGTGGCTGACAGTGGTAGCCAGGCACCATCTAGTTCTTCTGGTCTCATAGTCATATAGGCTGAGGACTTCCTGGTACTTTTTAAAGACTGGATATGTATTTGAAGACAAGGGCCCTTCCTGCCCCTTCTTGCTCTGATGACGATCCAGACATCCCTACTCCCTCTACTCTCTGGTGTCCAGTTGTCTGCAGAAGAGAGGGCCAGGCGGTGGGCAGGGCTCACAGACCTGCCCTTCATTGCTCTGAGTCTGACGAGAGC